GCTTAATCTCCAACGTATCTTTTACAGCAGGATATTATTCTGACGATAATGGAGGTGGGTTTACGAAATTATTGTTCCTGAGCGGAGATCCACTGCAGTTATGGGTAGAATATGACGGTGCCRAAACGCAACTTAATGTTACAATTGCTCCTGCCGTGGCGACCATGACCAAACCCAATCGTCCACTCTTGTCTTTGAAACAAGATCTTTCAGAGTTCCTCCTGGACAGGATGTACGTGGGGTTCTCTGCATCTTTCGGGGCTGTTCGATCAGATCATGACGTATTGGCTTGGAGCTTTAAGATGAACGGACAGGCTGAATCGCTCGATCTGTCACGACTGCCAAAGCTCCCAAGTGGCCCAGGGAAGAAGCTACCAATTTTGCCGATTTCGTTGCCCTTTGTTGGTGTTATTTGTGGGTTAGTGCTCGCCTGGCTAATCATTCTGTTTGTGAGGAAGATAAAGTACAAGGAAGTGCTCGAAGATTGGGAGCTTCAGTATGGACCTCACAGGTTCTCTTACAGGAATCTCTTTCTTTCCACCAATGGTTTCAAAGACAACGAACTTCTGGGGAGAGGAGGTTTCGGTCGGGTCTATAAAGGGGTGCTGCCCAAATCAAAGATTCAAGTTGCAGTGAAGAGAATTTCTCATGATTCAACCCAAGGAATGAGAGAATTCATCGCTGAGATCGCAACCATCGGCAGGCTCCGCCACCCAAACTTGGTCCGACTACTGGGCTACTGCCGGCGTAAAGGTGAGCTCCTCTTGGTTTATGATTTCATGTCCAACGGCAGTCTCAACAAGTTCATTTTCGACCGACCCAAGTTGGCGCTTAATTGGGCACAGAGGTTCAAGATCATCAAGGACGTGGCTTCTGCTCTCCTTTATCTGCACGAACAGTGGGTGCAGGTGGTCATCCACAGAGATATTAAGGCCAGCAATGTGTTATTAGACAGTGAAATGAACGGAAAGCTAGGAGATTTTGGCCTGGCCAAGCTCAGCGAGCAAGGAGCCGATCCACAAACTTCCTATCTAGCCGGCACTCCCGGCTATATTGCACCGGAGCTGGCCAGAACCGGCAAATCTAGCACGAGCACCGACCTGTTTGCATTTGGCACATTTCTGCTCGAGGTTGCCTGCGGCAGAAGACCGGTGGAGATGGAGGAAGTTCCGAAGAAGATATTCCTGGTGGACTGGGTGACGGACTGTTGGGGGAGGGGAAACATTCTGGAGACAGTGGATCCGAAACTAGGGAAGGAATTTGTGGCGGAGGAAGCGGAGTTGGTGCTGAAGCTTGGATTGCTTTGCTCACATCCTGCGGCCGAAGCCAGGCCGACCATGTCTTCTGTAGTCATGTATTTGGAAGGTGAAGCTTCCTTGCCGAAGGAATTCAGTGCAGAGGGGATAGCGCAGGAGAATAAAGTACGAATCAGAGCAAGGTCTGAGTTGTTCGGTTCTTGGCTGCAAAAGGATTCAACCCCATCGTTAACAATCACAGAGAAGTTCACATCCAGCGGCCGTTGACCTCTGCACATTCATGGACATTGAACAGAGGGCTTAATTACTGTAATTAATTAACGTAGTTTAAGAGGAGAAATTTAAGCCTTAATTGATACAGTTTTATCAAACATGTAATGATGGGTCTTGATCAGATTGGTGGGGCCCAGAGAGTTATGGATATTTTGTCCCCAGGCCCAATAAGCTTAGTGGGTTAGACACTGGCGTGTTGAAAAGCTTCCCATCGATTGGGCCACCTTATTGGTTTCAAGGATTGATTCTTATCCACAACATTTTTCATGAGCCTATTGCACCCTTGTGAAGCTAGTCTGTTATCTGGGTCAAGGTATAGCTTTTGAGTCTGGATATGCTCCTCACCAGCCACATCCCACTTTGTATTAGAAACATCTTTCATGAAAAATAACAAACAAAAAGTGGAGATATTCCCTATGTGTGGCTGGAATATGTTGTAAAGTCATTGAGAAGAGCGCTTTGTGAGAAATAGATCTTGATTCATAGCCTTTTGGGTCCTGTGGTCGGTAGATTGCTTTTTCTCTTTTTTTTTTTTTTATCTTGATGTACACATTATACAAGAATCTGAGCCTGAGGTGGGGACAAAGCAGCCCAGCAGATATATCATGTAAAACTTGCACGAGTTTTATTGCACACCTTTTATTTTGGAGGAACGGTGAATGGCCATCAAAACTATTGAGTCATCATTGTCTGGTTATCTAGTTAAGAAAGTATTGATAGAGTTTGGATTTAGTCCTCACAGCCCTTGCAGCTGTTCATTAGGAATATCTTTGTATAAGTATGGAGATGTTCCAATACATGGCTGACGAGGCTGTGAGGGGGGTGGGGTGGGTTCGACTTTGATGATAATCAATCATGTGGTATTTATTGAATTGGTAATACATGTCTTGTTTGCTACATTGACCATGCATATCATATCTTTTCTGTATCACAAATTTTTCCGTTCACCTTATGATTAGGTTTTGTCCCATGCAAAACGTTTTGCAGATAAACAACAATAATGCAATTAAACAATCCTCTAAGGCTCAGTTTGGAAGGAGTACAAATAAAAAAATATGTAAAGTGCAAAACTATATATTTGCACCGTACATATTTGTGTTTGTATTTGTACTCCCTTCCAAACTGGGCCTAAACAGAAATCTGGTAAGTGGTAACCGACTCCATATAGTTGGGATACACATGGAGCTCTGTTGAATAGGATTTAAAACAAAATATCAAGAAAAAAACAGATGAAGGAGACTATAAGAGTTTGCCCGAGAAAGGAGTATTTGGAGGTAGAATTTCAGATTTCAAAGTAATGGTGAATCAATAACCGAGAAATTGAAACTGACAGGACTAACTCCCAATTTTCCTTGTACAGGAAACAAAACATGGATTTCTTTCTCTTATGATGATAAAACTCGTGTCTCATTCCATTAATTAATGAGATATATACTCCAATTTTTAGCTACTCGTTATGATTGTGACGATTTGTTGATTAATTTAGAGATAAATTTCTGTCTTTACTGGAAAACCTTATTCTTATTTAAATAATGATGTCTGCCAAAGTAGGAATTTATGTTTAATTAAACGTTTGTTTCTACCCAGTGATCTATGTGGAAAAGAAATTAGTGGTGATTAACAACTGATGTTAATGCTTCTTAGACTTATGTGCCTAAATGAAAGACCACCGGTTATTAATCAAATTAAGGGTTTACAGTCAATTGGATTGGTTTTTCCACAACCCAATCTACAAGGGATCTCCTCTTGTAATGGGATGTCATGAGTTCATCATTTGTTGACAATGTCAAATTCTAATAAATTGACTTGAGATTGAGGGCCTGTTTGGAACGGCTGAGCTAAAGATTTGCCTACACTGGTTCAGATACTTTTAAGCACTCTGGACTAGTTAGTTATTCAAGGAGGTTGAAGCAGATAGCCCTTCAAATGACTTGACTGGCAGCTAATTTGGACTCTCCCAATTTTTCACCAAACATGGCTTATAGGCTGGGTTAGGGTTAAAAAATAAAGTCAGGTCAGATTAATTAGTTTAGGGTTGATGCGTTGAGAGACTTGACGCAACTTGAACCCAATGAATACATTTATACTCATAAACGTATGTGCCATGTATGAGTTTTGCATAATCATTCTTTTGATCAAGAAATGATTAGTTGAATGTAATAGTTGTTCAACAAGCTATGGAACCAATGATAATGCTCGATGTCTGTAATAAAATACATGGGACCATATATTTTATCATTGCCTGTGTAGCTTTATCATTGGTTCCACAACCCACTGAACAGTCATCATGTTCAGATAATTAGAAGAGACCCAATCAGCCCCTCCCGATGATGAGATCATCATTCCTAGTATTATCATCAGAACATGTTCCCAATACATGGCAGGGATGTGCTGTGGGATGTTGTGGGGGGTTGATTTGAACTCTAATTAGAATTCCTTTTGATCAAGTTTTTTAAGTCCAACCAAATGGAGTAATTTCATCCATTTCCTGAAGATAACATGTCATCCAACACTTGACTTCGATTCCAATATAAATTTTCAAGTTGCAAAAAATACAACATTAATAGAGAATCAAATGTTTCAATCTCTTTTGTAAGAGAGCTCAAAAGTAAAGAGTTTGTATTTCATTTATTTTAAATATATAAAAAATCAATTTATATGAATTTATCTTCACATTTTCCTGTGTGAATTTATGCACAAAACTTGTATATACAGCCACGTCCCTTTCCATGTTATGCTAGCCTGTAATGTCACTATCTTTTACTTAACCTATGAGTTGTGATTAGACCTGTTCATGGGATGTTGGGCCAGGCTTTTCTCTGTATCAATAGAACACATTCAGACCCAAGCCCAAGCTTGGCCCAACCATTGGGCCTAATCTTAAACTCAAACTAGGCCCTCATAAAAATCCCAAAGCCCATCCAGAAAATTGAAAAAAAAAATCTTTTTTATTCAACAGAAAACTGATTTATTTATATTAAAAGACTTCAAAACCAAAAGATAATGAAAGACATCACCACCACTTGAAAAAAGAGAAGAGGAACGAAGAAAAGAACATAATATATATTTTTATTATATAAAATATATTTCTTGTTATATAATATATTATCAAGTAGGCTCGGGCTCTTAAGCCCATGGGCCTAAATTCATGTCCAAGCCCGACTTAGAACAGACTGAGTCGGGCTGGCCTGTCAGACTACCCAGCCCATGAATAGGTCTAATTGTGATCATGGTTGAACCACATAATAGTATAATTAGTCCCCAATTGACCTTAAAACCAATTAACCAAATAATTCCTTTCCATTTTCTGTCCTTCCTGATTTGGGATGTCCAATGATAATAATCTCCCATGGTGGTCCTCTTTAGAATCTCCTAAAATAAAAAATAAGCGACATCCTTTTTTTTTTTATAAAATGTTTTTCAAGGCAAAAGTTCATTCATATGCTCAGAATATTTTTCTCTACGGACAACATTGTCCAGAAAAGAATACAAACCAAGTTTGGGTCCTAGATATGGACAAATCAAATTTTGCAATGACATGTGCAGCTTCATTAGCAATTCCTAATAACATATTTGATGATAATCTACGAATCTCTTTCTATATAGACTTGAGGACCAATCTATAGCCAAATGGAGTCTTTCCAATATTTTTAACACCTTTACCTAGGAATCCAACCGAGCCGATCTGAACCAAACTTTGGCTTGACTAAAATCCTATAAGGTTCGAATGCAAGTTTAAAATCGATTCAAATTATATTTTCTAGTTCAAATTCAAGTTTGAATAAAAAATTCAAAAATGAATATATTTATTTTTTATAGATATATATGATATATTTTTATACCATATAGTATATTCTTATATTATATAGAATATAATAATATTATTATATTTTATAATATAATATATATACATATGTATGTATGTGCGTACATATGTATGTATTTATATATGTGTTAATTAAACCAAACTCATAAAGCCTTCAAACCAAACTTTTTATTTGTCAAGTTCAAATTTAAATAACTAATCAAGCTTATCCTCAGGTTTGAATTCAAATTAAACCTAATTAAACTTGAACCCAAACTATTCTATTAAAACTTGATTCGATTGCTAAGGCTACCTTTACCTCCTCAATTGAGCATTTTATAATCTTTCTTGGCTCATTGTCCATAGTAGAAAACATGACAATGATCTTTGATTATAATCCCAATACCTTTTAGCAATGTCATTTAATGCCCCATCAATGTTAATTTTGTGGGCCACAAGTGTTTTATAATCCCAATACCTCTAGTGTTTCTACCCAAAAAAAAAGGTGGGCTAGCCCACAAGTGAAGTTGCAGAACCATATTACTCTGGTCTTGAGAAATTAAAAGATGTTGAATTGTTTCCATTACATCCCCACACAATTGCCACATAAACATATGACATATGAACTGTTGGAGGTAAATTTTTAAAATGTCAAAAATTTTTTGGAAAAGTACGGATACATCCGATGCAGAATTCTAAATTCCAGCCCCTCTACTACTGGCCCTCTCCCCCTATAAATTACATTTTGTTCATGAATACGACATCAATTCATGGTCAGGATGCATTCCTTCTGTACTATGGAGCTATAAAATTCTGATCTGGGCTGATTGGTCATTCTCCAAGGAACTGTACCAAAAGCAATACAGTATTGTGATTTTGGCTTAAGCCAAATCTTTGATTTTTCACTTTTATAGTGAAAGGTTAATTAAATAAATCGATTGAAAACTATAGGAGTGTTCTATAAACATAAAGGTAAATCTTAGTGAAACATTATAAAGGTTGTTTTAGTAAATGACGCAAAAAAAATATCAAGAGCAAACATGAAATATCTCCAAGGTAGTGGTGGCCAAATTCCAAAAACTTCCCTGTAAGGTGAAAATCCCTGCATTTTATAACTAAAATGAAAATAAAATTTCAGCCATTGATCTTATAAATGTGGTATCCAAAACAAAAGAGTGGCCCACCACAAGCCACAACATCAGATGGCGCATGAACTCCAAAGTCTAAACTGCTAAGAGCAGTAACGATACTCTGCACCCATGATCTTACCCATCCAAAAAGCACATCCTTCTTCAGAAAGGAATATTCTATCCGCTCGATTACTAAAACATGTCCCACCTGAGGGGTTAACTTTGGCTGTTGGGGCCCGACAGCATAGACTGTTGAGACAGTTTCTGGGCTGAGTACGTTCTAGGCAATTTACAAATTTACGCATAAAAGTACGGAGATGTTCCCGATCGATGGCTGTAAAAGCCTTGCACTGATTGAAGCCGAGTAACGTTGTATTTCCAAAAATTCTCTAAACAGGATAAGCTGTTGGCCCCCGACAGCTAAAGTTTTTCCGTGAAATCAAGTCCCTAATTAACACTTAATTTTGCCACGTGGAGAAACATCTGATGGACAGATAGTTGATCTAGTACAGTCTCCACCCAAGATTTCTTGGTTGGATTTTTTATTTTTCAATTCAGTGTCATCCGGAATGCAGCGATGAGTTCGATCACGCCATGGCCTGCGACACCCTCCTCCCTCTTCACTTTCTCTTCTTCTTCTACTTCCTCCTCCTCTTCTTCTTCTCCCTCCAAATTCTCCAAATGCCAATTCTATCCTTCCTCATCTTCTCTTCACCTCGTCTGCCGATGCCAGAACGTCTCCAACGACCTCCAATTCGTCCTCCATGATGCCCTCGACGCTTCTGGGGTCGACACCACCCATGCCAGAGTGAGACTTCTTCTCATCCTCCTGTGTTTCTTTCTGTTTTCTGGTTTTGTTCAGTGAATTCGGTTGAACGGCGATGGCTGTGCTGTGCAGGCAGCGAGAGATGGTTTCTGCACTCAAATTCGCCGGTTGTCGAGCATAGAGAGGGAGACGAGTATCTGTATTAATAGAGGGGTTGATCTGGCGAAAACTGCTCTTCACATTGCGGCAGAAGATGATTGGCTTATCTCTCACTCTTCGGTGCCTCTCCCAATTGATTCGTTTATTCAGAGACTGGATGACCTTTCCATGGATTACTGTTCGCATAACAGTTCGCTTTTCAAATTGTCGCCGGAGGCTTTCCTGGGCAGTCTGGAGAAGTACTTGTACGGTCACAAGGTATGTGGTTGTCTTGGTTTTTACAGTGTTTGAACTAGGCTGCTGGTAGATTTGTCTTAAGACACATTAAGAGTGTTCTGTTTTGTGTAACATCATGAGATTGGTTCATAATTAGCTTTATGACTACAATAGAACTTGCCTATACAAAATAAGATAGTAGGGTTAAGAGTTTGGTGATGAGGACCATGGATGTTCATTGATGAAAGAGAGGTTAAGTGTTCTGTTTTGTATAACATCATGACATTGATTCATAATTCGCTTTATGACTACAATAGAACTTGTCCATATAAAATCAGATAGCAGGGTTAAGAGTTTGATAATGAGAACCATGAGTGTTCATTGA